ACACATTCAATGATAACCAAATAATTTATCACTAAAAAATATATTTCGTCACTAAAAACTGTCAATTTTCTCTAATCAATGCATCCCACATCGATAAAAAACATACAAGACAATAAGGTTTTGCACTATAAATATATCCCACATCGATAATAAATATTTAAGAAAATAAATTTTTTCACTATAAAACATGTGAAACTCAATAAAACTTGAGATCAATTTGGGCCTGATTAATTTTAATTGGGCTTGATTAATTTTAATTAAAAGTGATTAGTATTGAAATAATAATAATTTTTATTAAACTTTTGTGATAAATTTATATATTATTTTGTTGTGACAAAATTTTTGTTAAAATTTTTGTGTTGTAATTATATAAATATCTTTTTTATTTAATATCAATTTTAATAATTAATGACTAAATTTTGCATCATAATTGTATTTGTAACGAATATTTTTTTGTGACGAATAAAATTGTTATAAATAACTTGTTAACAATGTCAAATTTTCTATCACTATACAATTATTTTTTGTGACAGGTATCTAATTTGTCATTAAGAGCATTAGTCACAAGGGTTTTACTAACGATTTAAATTTTATCATTAATAATAATTTGTGACAAAAAATGAAGATTTAATGATCAATAATTTAATCACTAAATATGAATTTTCTTGTAGTGTGATTGGTGATGATTTAGGGAAGCATTTTGATGTAGAATTGGTGGGGAAGGGAGCTAGGCTGGAGTCTATATTGTAATATGGTCATGATAACCCTAATAGGACTGTAGTGAACCCATATATCCATTCTGGGCAAAGGTCAGTTTGGCCTAAGGGATTGCCACTAGAGAATGTAGGTGCAATTGGGCATTGTGAGGAGTTTTACACTGAGGTCTTTGGTGGCAAGCAGTACATGCAACAAAGGATTTCCAATGGGTTACCTGATGTTGATTCTGTGTTTTATTTTACCAGAAAGTCGGGTTTGGAAGCATTTGATATTAGATTTGATGAGCATGCGCCAAAAGTGGCATTGCCACAAGGTATGATGGTGCCAGTGAATTCATTTAATACCGTGTAGCATTCATTAGCATTTTGGGATTTGATGCTTCCTGTTTCTATTAGCACCATGGCTTTTGATGTTTTGAGGGGTTATTGGGGACAGGGGCCTTTGTGGGAGATTAGTGGTTATGTTGTTGTTTATCCACCCACAATTCATAGGTATGATAGAATTGAGGCATATCCATCTTCAGAGGAGAAGGATCTTCATGTGAATGTAGGTCGTTTGATCAAATTCCTGGATCATGTAGGTCGAACAAGCATGGGTTGTTTGACAAGATATTGGAATTAAGTTATGCTATGGCAGAAGAGGGTTTTTGGACCGAGAAGGATCTCAAGTTCACTGCTGCTTGGCTTCAGGACTTGCTTGCTGTGAGGTATCAGTAGCCAAGGCTGATGTCACTGGAATTGGATAGGCCACAGACAAATATTGGTCATGGTGATCGTAGGGAATTTGATTGGATTCATCTCACCTGTCAGATTTTTTCAATTCCAACGGCTGGGATGATCAAACCATTTTGTGACGTGTACAAATGCTATTGCCAAATCATATGACACGTCTGAGGTTCAGATCCAGATGAGAGAGAGTACATTCTAAGGGCTTTGCTTGTGTTAGGGCTGTCACCGACGACTTGACGAAATCGTCACTTTAGAGAAGCCATCACCGGAGGCTACTACATAATCCCTTCGGCTCGACGGCGCATGTGACTTGAACCTCCGCGCTTCTTCCTTAACTTCTCAAGATTTGCTGCTGGTTTGTTCTCAGCTCCTACGGAGTGTTTGCTTCATGCGCTTGATATCGCGCTAGAGCTGCTTGACAAGCACGATGCCTCTGTGGACATGGATCCCTATGGATTTGCCACCTGCTTTAGGATCGTCACCTTTTCATTATCGGAGCTCCAGTAGAGCTTTAATCAACTCTTTTTCACCACCTGTGAACATCTCACCGGCTTTAAACTCAGAACAGGGATAAAATCGAACGATTGATTTAGACGAAAACTAAACT